TTCTCCTGCTGATGTTCCAGAATAGTCATGGAAGCCCATGGGAACACTTTCTGTCCTGTTGCTCACTGAGCAGTCTTTGAAACAACTGAAATGCTGCTGTTTTCTAAAATCAGAAAGACTAAAAAGGCCCACATGGCTTCAACTTGAACTCCCAGTGGTACCTAAATGTTTAAGTTGTATAAGAAGAGTACAGATACATCTAAAGATTGGAAGCCTGTGACAAGACCATGCTTACCCTCAGGAGTAGCAACCAGATTTAGAGGAAGTGTGGAAAATAAAAGTTTAGAGCTCCATCTAACAGCTATCAAATAACTGATACTGCACTATCAATAGCTAACAAACATATACCACTAAGATGCATTTGAACTGCATGTCCACATGCATTGCATCACCTTTGTGCTTGCTTTTCTGTAGGAGCTTATCCTCTGAAGGATGAGGAGTAAAGAGAAGCTATTCATGTAGCTACAGTTTTAGAATTATTGCAGTCTAGCTCTCATCACACTCCTTAGGGGGAGAAAATGAGTTGTAAATGAGATCGGGCTATTTATGCTATAAGTAAGTTTCAGGAAGTTAAGTAGTGAATCAAACTAATGTCCTTAACATGAATATGTTTATCTCATCATTAACACGAGTTCAGCTATGACTGCTCGGAAAGAGGAAAGTGTTTTCTTGTACGATGTGTAGACAATGAGTTAAAATTCTATGATTTAGTTGTGAGCAAACACGTTCTTTTTAACAAATGAAATTAAGTCAAATACTTTCACAAAGTTAAGAAGTCTAACAACAACTTCTGCAACAGTCCATGTGTCATGAGTGGTTGAAATCAGAATGTTTTGAGATTGTCTGGAAAACTGCCATGCTGTTTCCATCATATTTAAAAGATGATAGCTAACAAGTGAAAAGATGTCACCAGCTGTGGTAAGCAGACGATGATATGCAGAGTGTGCAAGTGCATTTACTAGTGATTTTTTTTTTTTACTTTTCTGATAATAAATGCAAGGAAGTATTTTATTTGTGTGTTTTTACATATAAAACGTATGCTTTCTGTAATAACCCTTTCCCCCCCTTTTCTTTTTCCAGAGTCAAGATGACAGATTTGCTTTCACTGCTGAATGGTATGATCCAAATGCTTCACTCTTTCGGCGTTATGAACTTCTGTATTATCCAAAAGATGGATCAGTGGAAATGGTAAGAATAAAAGAAAAAAATCTGTTGTTGTAAGTGTAATATCCAGTTACACAATTTGTAAAATGGCAAGCCACTGCCTATGCCTATTAATTTTCTAGGTAAGGAAAATGTAATTTAAGAAGTATCTTGCTCTGTTTCTAAAACTAAAAGAAAAGCAAAAATACAAGTTCACAGTGAAGTATGTGGAAGAGCTTCCACATTTATGATTTTTTTTTTTTTTAAAGCTTGCTTTGACATGGAGAGATTCATTTTCACAAATCTGTTTTCATTCACTCTCTACTTGGGTTTCAGAATTGAAACTCAACAACACTGACCTACTGCTTGAGAAACATAAATTGAAGCTGATTCCAAACAGAGGAATAAGCTTCAGCAGGGATTCCAAAAGTCTCCGAAGAGTGAAATGTAAAAGAGTGTTATCAAAGTAGAGGAAATGGTAAAGTGCTTTTAATTTGGCTTTAATGAAAGGAAGGATGTTTCAGACAGTGGGATCTAAATTTTTCCATCAGTGCTGCTTGCACAGATCTTTCTGACTTGTGGTTCATACAACTAATCCCCATTGTTTATTGATAGCAGGTTAAAACGAGCATTTTGCAGTAGTGGGCATATATATAAAAATGTATTATGTACTGTAAAGATAATCCTAATAAACCAACCAATGCTTTGTGTTTCCTTTTAGGAATCAGTGAATGGTTTGGACTAGTCTCTTCTGTTTTTTTAATGAAGACCTAAGGGTCTGAGAATAGCCTAGATTTGGATATTCACACTTAGTAATTTCATTATCAAATTTAGTTTTCCTGCTATAAGTATCATATACAGAAATAAGAAAGCTAGTAGAATCTGCCTTTTCTTACCCAAACTACTGCTCACTGAAACCATGGTACCTGTCTGTGTGAGGAGATGCATTTTGCACTTTTTACTGATAGTCTCTTTAAACAAACTCTATTGTGATGTTGTCCCTTTTAAGTTAGTTCTTTGTATGATGTCTGTGTGTGCATAGTTGTCAAATGATGAGGATTTTTATTTTTTATTTCCCAGAGACAGTTTAGCTAATCAGTCGGGAGCCGTACTAATCGTCCTACACAACCATGTGTAGGCAAGCAAAATTGTTGTTCATTTCACCTAGATGTCTCAAACCCAAGAGCTTTCAAGGTGGTTTTGAGCTTCTTGATGCATTCAGCATCAAATACCTATGGCTTGGTAGACTTTTGCATTTTGCTAGTGTGCTCTTAGGTTAAGATAGTATAGTGTGTACACAGTCATGAGTGTATATAGACTGTGTGTGATCAGGACAGGAGTTAAAAAAGCAAAAATGCATATAACACCTCTGTAGAAAGAATATCTCAAAATCACTTTTGCGGGTGAATTTGTGGACCGAGATTAAATTTACAATTCTCTTCTGGATTTTTTTTTTGTTTTTAAATTTCTGCAGAATTTGGTGATTCTTTCTTTATTACTGCTTAATTCGTCTGCATCTTTTTTTATCTTCCTGAGGAGATGACAGCCCTCTCTTACCTCTAACATATTTGAGGAGAAGGGAGGTAATGGATATATGCCAGCTTCTCCTGGCTTATGGAGAAAGATGTTTCATCCCCTTTCCCACCTCCCTGACAATAGCTCTTCTTTATCACACACCTCAGCTGAGGGTGGAGCAGAGCTGTTGAAGGCTTGTGTTATGTGAAGTCCTCAGCTTGCCTTTTCTTTCTCAGTCCTTCATGTCTTGGTTCCTGTGAAGAAAAATGACAGTGGGAATAATGAGATATGTTTCCAGCTTGCTTTACAGCTGGAAGAAGACAGCATAGGTTTTTGTCCAAGGACAGCAAGGACAGCTCTTACGATCAAACTTGACAAAGAGATGCCCCATTCTCTGAATTTTCTGTATTTAATAATTCTCATGGGGAATTCTTAAAGTCTGAACAACTTGTCTTTCTACAGGAGATTTCCTAAAAAGAGAGAAGAAATCTTTAAAAAGGACAGATTCTTAGCAGAGAACTATTTTGTTTTGGGTAATGTACTTCTACATGTACATGGGCAGGAGGGGAACAGTCCAAACAGTCTTACATTTCTTCTGCTGTGGCTTATCATTCGTTTTATAAAAAGTTATTTTAAGCAGATCCAAAATTCCACTCTAAAGAAGAATTCTTTAACACAGGTCGATGCGTTCCCCCCACCTTTACCTTCTGCTTGAGAAGAGAGAAGCAGCTCAGGGTGCCTTTCTAGCAACTGTTAGTGAAATAACCAAGGAAATGTTCAGATTGTTAGTCAAGATATTGAAGAATTTGAATATGGTCAAGACAGTTAATAGGCTTCCTGGCAAAGTCCAGGAAAAAACAAGTAGCTGAATTCAAGTGACTTTTTTCAGCATGTTGTCATTTCTTTCC